TGGAGTAGGGGAGTGCCAAAGCTGCCATAGTAAATAAACAATCTAGAGGGGAAGGCAAAACAACGAACAAGCCAACAGTCAAATACGATTGTGTGGAGCACAGCAAATACGCACAGACTGCGCTGAGGGCATGACGGGAGCTGAGCCGGCTAGAGAACGCTCCTCTGAGGAAAGCAACCATTTCGCATTGAATCTAAAGATAATCATCTTAATGTACCGCTAAGGAAGAAAATAGTGCCAATTAAGTTAGGACATAATGCTTTTCCACTTAGAATGTTTACGTCTCCTTGTTAAAAAGACTCTTGGACTTGTTTAGACATAGATTTTTCTGTGTCACTTTTGTTTTTTTGTTTTTTAAATCTATTTCTTTATTGATTTCAGAGAGGAAGGGAGGAGAGAGAGATAGAAACATCAACGATGAGAGAGAATTATTGATTGGCTGCCTCCTACACGCCCCCCAATGGGGATCAAGCCTGCAACCCAGGCATGTGCCCTTGGCCGGAATCGAACCCGGGACCCTTCAATCCGCAGGCTGACGCTCTATCCACTGAGCCAAGCCGGCCAGGGCTCTGTGTCACTTTTGTACATACAGTGAAGGGGACCTATAAACACCATGTATTGGCTGAGGTCTTCCTAACCTCACGTCTTCGCTTTCAGAGTCTCACTCCTCTGAATCACTTTTCAGCTCAGCTGATCCGCACCATTTATGGCCTTGCCGCTGGGCTCGCTGGCCTCCCTGCGTGAGGGTGATGCAGGGCCATGTCTCCGTTTCCGGGAGGGAGTCAGTGCTGCTGCGGATTCCCCTCTGCCAGCTGGGATGCTGCCACTTTCTCGATCCTACCAGAAGGTGTCAGTGAAGTGCTGTAGAGTTTAACGACCTGGACTCGTTCTCCTCCAAGTGGTTCTAATTGGTTTGCTAATTGAACACGCAGGGGTGCCCGTCAGTCAGGCCATGGGGAGTGACAACCAAGGGCATGTGTGTGCAGGCAAGGACAGCGATGGCACCGCAGCAGCAATTGTAAGACCCACCCCAGTTGCAGATGAAGACTGTATGTCTCAGAATTGAGGAAATCAATTTAAAAATCTGTAAAAAAATCATTTCCAAGAAGTCGAGGAGTCAGTGGGCGCCGTCATTATCCCAGCGACTTAGTGATGCCGGGGCTCTGGGTGGGCGTCTCTGTGCGTCTCCGGGTCACAAGGTGGCAGTTGTGCCCCCTCGAAGGCAGAAGCAGGGAGCAGGGAGCAGCGTCAGGCCTTTCCCCTGTTATCAGGAAGAGGAAATACCTGCCCCAGAAATCCCTTAGCGGATTCACCTTCCCTCCCCTTGGCCAGGACTGCCTCGCCTGGCCATCCATGGCTACAAGGGAGGTTGGGAAAGCTGTTTTTTCTCATCATTTCAAGAATGGGGTTGGGGATGACGTTTGGATGGTCAACTAACAGTGTATCCCACTGTCGTCAGATACATCTGGGGTTCACTGAGTTAATCCAAAACACTGTAGGACTATCAAAGCTTTTAATATGGTAATGTGGCTCATCGAATTACGAATTACGGATATTAAGCTTTGCCAAACTTGGGGAATCCAAATTTATTTTTCTAAAATGGATAACCCAATTTTGCTTAATGCCAGTGAACAACGCTTGCTTGTTCCCAGAATAAGGAAGTGAAGGTTCCCGGGAGCGGAGCTGAAGTGGCCCCACCGGAGGGTTGGGTTTGTGGAGAGTGAATAGAAATGGGGCTTTGAGTGGAGACAGGGCAGGGCTGAGAGGCTTAGAGGTTAATGTTGACCATCTCGGCTGCTTTTGACGGGTACAGCTAATTTGTTTTCAAGAGCCTTGTGGCCCTGCCGCTGGGATTTCCTCGGAGTCAGGACTCGGTTGGTACCGAGCTATTATTACCTCCTCCTCTGTCCTAACCTCTGCCACTTCCAGTCTTCATGATGCCGGTGATATTGGAGCCCGGCTGGCTGGCTTCCGGGCGTGGATCGAGGCCTTTGTGAACTGGACTGGGTGATGCCTGCTGCCGCTGTCCCTCAGACACTGCTGAGCGTTGTGAGAGCTGGCAGGCCCACTGATGGTTAGTTCCTGGTCATCTATTGGGCTTGGGATCATGAAGCCCCTTCTCATCCTTTGGCCAGAAGTGATCTTTTCTCTTTTCTTTTCTTTTCTTTTCTTTTCTTTTCTTTTCTTTTCTTTTCTTTTCTTCTTTTCTTTCTTTTCTTTTCTTTTCTTTTCTTTTCTTTTCTTTTCTTTTCTTTTCTTTTCTTTTCTCTTCTCCTCTCCTCTCCTCTCCTCTCCTCTCCTCTCCTCTCCTCTCCTCTCCTCTTTTCTTTTCTTTTCTTTTCTTTTCTTTTTTAAATTTCCTCAGCAACTTGTGTGTCTTAGGCACAGCAGCATTTACCATCACAGGAGGTGACATTTGTTATTGTTGTTGTTAACCCTTGCCTGATGATATTTTTCCCATTGATTTTTAGAGAGAGTGGAAGGGAAGGGGAGAGACAGAGAGAAACATTGATGTGAGAGACACATCAATTGATTGCCTCCTGAATGCACCACTGGGGCTGGGGAACGAGCCTGCAACTGAGGTGTGTGCCCTTGACTGGAATTGAACCCAGGATTCTTCAGTCTGGGAGCCGACACTCTATGCACTGAGCCAAGTGGGCTAGGGCTCGAACAGTTACTATGCATTGGGCTTTGTCGTGGATTCTTCTATGGGCATAATCTCACTTAGTCCTCGCTGCCATCCTGCCGTGAGAACGCTCTTCTGCAGACGGGAGTCGTGAGGCGGAGAGCGGTTCAGGTCCCCCAGCTGTTGGGGATAAGGCTGCGTTTGAGTCCAGGGGTGACTCTAGAGCTGTTGCTCTTCATCTTCGATCTCCGAAGCTTCTGGTCTGGCACCTTTGTCTTACTTGGACATTAGTCTTTCCACATTTCGTCAGAAATCAAACTGTGTTTTTGGTATTTCCTAACAACACCCACACAGAGCCTTGCCCTCGATGGGAGATTACGGACCAGGTAAATGAATAACTGGGAGGGTAAATGGAAGCGCGAGTCAGGAGCGGTTTTCCTGAATGTTAAGCTAACATTGAATTACTCCTTTATAATGATCAGAGTATTTTCTCTCTTTTCAGAATTAGTTTTTGTTCTTTAGCCATCTAATTTCTTCTAAATTCTAGATATCTAGATTCCAGAATGTTCTGAGTAAAATAATCATGGCTCATTGCTGATAGACTTGGAGAGCAGCTGGGCAGCGGGTCCTCCCTCGTGCTCTTGGCAGAGACCACCCAGCGTTCATGTCTAGACGGTGAGGCCTCAGACCCCATGTCCCTGGTTCCAGAGCAGGTCTGAGTGACTGGGGTGATTGCTGCCTTTTTTCACATAACGTCCTCCCAAACCCCTTCGCCTGGATTTATCTTTCTGATCGTATATATTTGATTATTTAAACAGGTTTCTTTCCGTTGTTCGTTTCTTGGAGGCATTGTCTTCATACCTTTGGGAGGCGAAGGACTTACCTTTTCATTTTAATGTTTTATTCCGACATTCCTTCTAAACCTGTCCACACGCCCCTGTTCCCTCCCCTCTCAGGAGCTCAGGCGCACTTGCTCCTTTGTCAGCGGCTCTCTCTGAGGTCAGACGGTGAACTGCTGTGCTCTGGTGGCCCGTTTTCATTACTGTTTTCTTATTAAGTAAAATGAAAGAATTCCCCAAACCCTGCTGCCGCCTCTGAAAGCCTCTGACAAAGCTTGTTTGTTTCATCAGGCCCCCCTCCCCCCGCCACCTCCCGCCACACACACACACACACACACACACACACACACACACCCAGCCCCAGCCCAGGGCACTCCTGTTAGCCATCTCATTGACTTTGTGCTGATGTGTCCTTTCTGTTGTTTGTAGTGCTTTATTGTCCCCAAGCCCTTCAGCCCTCCAGAGCCACTCTTCCCTCATATGCAAATGCATGTCCCGTTCCCATCCCCCACCGTCCCAGGTACCTGTGGGAAGGCTGACGCCCCCAGTATTTCTGAAGCCCAGAGTTCATTCCTTTGCTTGGTGGTTACTTGCCTGTCACCTTTCATTCAAATCTCAACCCAATTCTCAACAACCCAGTCTCCTACCAGCCTCCCCCCCACCCCTCCCCCCAGCTCTCCTTCTTCCCCAAACACGGTCCCCCTGCAGCCCCGAGGCCCTAAAGCACCGCCCTGTCCCTGAGCCTCTCGCTGACCCCTTTCAGGGACACCCATTCTCCCCTGCAGGCAGCCAGGACCTTCCCTTCAGAACTGTAGTGGGTCGATCTTGCTTCCTGAACACAAGAACAGTTTCCCCGTGGGCTGAACTCCACGGCTCCCTCCCAACATGCAGTGGTTACAGCCAGCAGGGTTTCTCCACGTCCTATTTCCTTCCTGCTCCATCCCCTTCGGGTATTTCATGAAGCTCCAATGCCACGGGGGGGGGGGGGGGGGGGGGGGGGGGGGGGGGGGGGGGGAAATTTCCCCAAAACCAGCGCCGTGGAGCAGATAAAAAGAAATTGCCGCTGTCGCACCAATTAGAAGAACTGTTCCGTGTTTCCCTTCCCGATGAAAAAGAGTATGGGTGGGACACCCATATTACTAGGTTCTGATTTTCTAACCAAATACTGGAGTACTGAGGGCTGAAGAAGAGGTTTCAGTCTATAAACCCGAGGAGCAGCGGTCAGGCCCTGGGAGCAGAGCTGCAGGCGATGGCACATCCTCAGCCCGGGTCTGGGTTGTCCGTCTGCGGCTCCTAGAGGCAGCCGAAGGGGAGGAAGGAGCTGGAGCCAGAGCCAGAGGAGCACTTGCTGAGCCCGCAGTGGCCCTGGGATAGTCCCGACCTTGACCCTCAGTGTTTCCAGCAAGTCCCTCCGGGTCTCTGTTCCCACCTCGCTGACCGGCAGAGCTTCCTGTTGGCTTTGTCATGCCTCTCCCACCACTGCCCCTGGTCCGTGGTCCGGCCTCTGACGTGTGTCCCTCCTGTGTTGTGCCCAGGGACAGGGTGCCTTATCGGAGAGACTCCGGAGCTTCAGCATGCAGGACCTCACCACCATTCGGGGAGACGGTGCCCCTGCGCCCTCAGGCCCCCCTCCCGCGGGGTCCGGGCGGGCCGGCAAACAGGGCCAGCCCAAGATGTCCAGGAGTGCTTCTGAGAGCGCTGGCAGCTCAGGTATGTCACTCCCCTCCTCCCCGTCCACCTCCCCAGCCTCACTTCCACGGAGGGGCCCAGTCCACTGTGTGCCTGTCACTGGGCCCTGGCCCAGGGGCTTGCCACCAACACAGAGTTCACCAGACCATGCCGGGCCGGCCACGGGCAGAGCACCCCTGCGGCCAGGACAGGGAGCTGGCCTGTGGACTCTGACTGGGGCAGGTGTGGGTCACCTGCACCACATGCGATTGCCTGGGGGCTGGGGTGGTTGGGTCGCAGTGCCTGGACCAAACCTGAAGGCGGCAGGCACAGCTGGCCGGGCCCAGGCAGCCCTCTCTGCCCTCCTCCTCTCTGACCTCCCTCCCAGGAGGGCTTCCTGTCTGGAGTACCTGAGGGCCCCTCCCACCTACCCAGGACTGTGGGCTCCATGGTTCCTTTCACCTGCACGATTACTTCCGGTCCCCTCTGCTCTGAGGTCTCAGTCCTGGGGAGGCTCGGGCTTTACGGAAACTGCACCTCTGCCTCTGCCTCTGGTTGTCAGACTCCGGGCACGAGGTGGCCTGTATTAGGACTGACCTGGGGACCTGGCAGCTGGGCCCACCTGCAGAGATCCTGAGGTCGGGGTGAGACCCAGAGGCGGTGCAGCGTGCCGGGACATCTGGCCCAAGCCTGGGTTTCAGGCTTGTGAAGGCGGGGCATGGGTCAGGGTAGGGAGCTGGGCCCGGACTCAGGATTTCGCAGGCTGTTCCTTGGGGGAATGCAGGGACCTTGGTCCCCAGGAGCTGAGCACGGCCACTGCGGGCAGAGGGTGCTGGTGAAGGGGCAGGAGACAGGTCTGGGTGGCCGCCTCTGCCCTCGCCCTTGTGGGACATGGAGCTTCGGGTGGGAATTGGGCCGTTTGTTTGGAACCTGTGGCTATGATGTGAGCCTGGTGGCTGCCTTGCTCTTACATGTAGCAACAGGGACATCCAGGCCACCTGGACCCTGATTGTGAGGTGCAGCCTGCAGGTGGCACCTTGGCCTGAGCCCCAGGGAGCCCGCCTGCCTTTGGGAGGTCTTGGGTGTGGCTGGGAAAGGAGCCCTGTGGCCTCCCAGCGAATGCCAGCCAGGCGCCATCCAGGGAAGGCCGGCCAGCCCAGAGCCAGCCTGTGTCCACCAGGCTCCTCACCTCTCAGCATAACCCTTCACCGGCCCCAGGGTGGAAGACTGACTTTCCTGTTGGAGAGGAAGTGTTTATTTTAACCCTCGCAGGGCTGGGAGGCGAGGCGTGGCCATGGCAGGGCCGGCCCCCTGAGGGAGAGGTTACCTCCTGGGGAACCCGCCCCAGGAGAACTTAGAATGGAATCCCAGAGGCCAGGCCGGGAGGGACTCAGGGGCCACTTAGTCTAACCTCTGATTTTACCAACAAAAGGACAAAGGCCCAGGGAAGGGAATCGCCACCAGTGTCACCTGCGGGTGGCCTTCTCCTTGGCCTCCTGGCTCCTGGGCCAGTGCCCTCTGTTTGCTCACTGACCACCCAGGTTTCCTGAACATCTAAGCTTCTGACCCACTGGGCACCCTCTCAGGGACAGGGAGGGAGTGGAATCAGGTATCGCCTCCACCTTGAGCAGCTCATTGGCTACCGAGCCTCAAAGGCAAGCTGTCATTGGGAAGAAAAAAGGGCCCCAACTCTGTGAAGCTCAGAGGGCAGAGCAAGCACCGATGGCGTGGAGTTCCAGGGAGGATCACCTATTGGCTGTGTGGCCTGGACAAGGGTTTACTCTCCCTGCGCCTGAGGTTCCTTACCCGTGCGCGAGGACTGACAGCTCCCATCTGCGGGGTTATGAGGATTCTCGGGAAATAACCATGTAAAAGCGCTTCGGACCAGGCCTGGCACTCTCTGTAGTCGCTGCCGTTACTGTCCTTGTTATTTCATTCACCTGCGAAAGCACTTTATAACATGAAAGTGTCCAGGAGAGAACGAGCTGCCTGTGAGGCAGTGAGACCCCCGGCATTGGAAGGGCCCAAAGCAAAGTTGAATGATGTTGTGTTGGTGTTGGCCCCGCCCTCACTGCAGTGACCTGCTCTGACACCCCCGGGAGGCAGTGGGGAGGGCCCTGGCTGCAGGCCAAGCAGGTGGCGCTCCGTGGAGAACCCAGACCCCCTGTGCTGCCGTGTGGCCCAGCTCTCCGTACTGCCCGCCCTGGGCCTGGGCACCTGTGTCTCAGGGACAGAGAGTGGAGGTGCTGGACCAGCAGGGAGGACAAAGGCCATGTGGCCTTCTTCCCAGCTGTTCTGGGAGCTAAAACAAAAGTTATCTCAGAAAGAAAGACAAGGTGAAAGATGGCCCAAGGCCTGAGCCTGGGGCAAAGGCGCCCCAATCTGGGGCCATCAGAACCCCTGAGTTGAGGGGTGGGGTGCCTAGGAGGAAGTCTGGCAAAGAAGGCCCAGCCCCACAGGCTGGCGTGCCTTCCCAGCCCCCATGTGGGCCTTGGACATGGGTGTGGTCTGGTAGGAGAAAGGCCCGAGCCTGGGCTGCCATCCTGGCCGGGCGACACTGACCTGTGCAGGCAGCACAGCGAGGAGATGTCACCAAGGGTCGCCACACGTGTTCCCCTGGGCCTTTCTCGGAGTGATAGCCCAGGAGGTCGCTGCCAGATTTGACCTCCGCACAGAAGATGAGCCCAATCTTAAGTTTTCTCTGCCAGTGAAAGGTCACAGTCCCTGTTCAGCCTATGTCTTAGGGCTGTAGGGAGAGCAAACAAGTAATTTGCAAACCCTGGATGGTAGCAGGAGTTAAGGCAACCTGGGAGAAGACAGTTGTGTGCAGCCAACAGTTCCAGTGCTTACTGTTTGATCCTGAAAACATGATGCCTAGTGAAAAAAGTACAAAATAGAATGAGATCTTATTTAACAAGCCATCCTGTATAATAAAAGGCTAATATGCAAATTGATGTAACAGTAGAACAACAGGTTGCTATGAAGCGCAATGACCACTGGGGGGCAGACACTTAATGCAGGAACTGTCCCCTTGTGGTCAGTGCACTCCCACAGGAGGAGTGCTGCTGAGCCAGAAGCCGGGCTCACGGCTGGCAAGTGCAGCGGTGGTAGTGGGAGTCTCTCCCGCCTCCGTGGCAGCGCTAAGGATGTCTGACTGACGGCTTAGTCCCGCTCCTGGTGGGGCAGGGGGAGCGGGCCTAAGCTGTCAGCCGGACATCCCCAGAGGGCTTCCGGACTGTGAGAGGGTGTAGGCCGGGCTGAGGGACTCCTCGAGTTCATGAATTTTGTGCACCAGGCCTCTAGTGTAAAATAAAAACATATGCCCAATGTGCAAAAGAACAATATGGAGTTTGCAAGAACACATTGCCCTCCTTAGAGAATGAACTGGGAGGTGTTTTGTCAGGCACCATTTGTTGAAAGACACTGGAGCCTGTGAAGGGTACAGAGGGAGCTGAAAGGATGATTGTTGCTTTCCCTGAATGTGGAGACAGTCAGCATGTATTTAGTGAGCACCTGCTGTATATCAAGGCCTGGGTGTACACCAAAACCAGTGGAGTGTGCAAAACAGCAAATTAGGCCTTCGACCAAATGGCCAGACACAAGCATTTGGGGGGTCAGAGGTCAGGCTGAGGTTTCATAGAGGTCACTCTGCCCTGAAAGGTGTAGAAAGGAGGGGCTTCTGGGTGGAGTTTACTTCCCAGAGGGAATTTTGACCCCAGCCCCTGCCTTCCCTATGGCTGCCGGATACAAGAACTAACCTCTGTGGGCTGGGCAAGGGCATTTTCCAGCTGCTGGGTTCATAACCCGAGAGGAAGCTGCATCTGGAATGATCCCCTCCCCTGCGTGGTGTCCACATCCCTGGGACCCCGATATTGAACGCACTGGCACCCCACACTTCCCCGGGGCCTCCCTGTGTGCCTGGGCGGTTCCTGTCGGAGGGTTATCACTGATGGTGCCCCATCCCCACAGTGTGCACCTGCTGCTCCACCTGCAGGACCAGGAAAGGTGAGTAAGCAGCCGTCTGCGTGCGCTGCCCTCGCCGCGGGAGGAGGCTCTAACCTCACGCTGGCACCTGACCCGGCTCCCTTTCAGCTGCATGGTCTGGGGGGAGGGGTTAGGAGGCTAACCCCTTAGAACAGCAAACCTGCGTTAGCTTACGGTGTCTGCGGCTTCACTAGGCAGATGTGGCTCAGGGTCTCGAGTTGTAGTAGGATGTCGGCCAGGGCTGCCGTCACCTGAAGGCCAGATGGGCTCGAGGATCCTCTTACAGGGTGGCTGTCTCATTGGAGGCCTCAGTCCTTACCACACGGGCCTGTCTAGGCAGCGTGAGTGCCCTTACAGCATGGCAGCTGCCTTCTCCAGAGTGGAGAGAGAGAGAGAGAGAGAGAGAGAGAGAGAGAGAGAGAGAGAGAGAGAGAGAATGAATGAATATGAATGAGTGAATGCAGGAAGTCACGGCACCTGTTAGGACCCAGTCTTGGAAGTTGCACGTCACCATTCTGCCTTGTTCTGTTGGTTGGATGTGAGCCTGTAGGTTCAGC